ACATTGTCGGGAAAAGCATCAGAGTCTAGAAATAGCTACGGCTTTATGCCCTTTCCCCTTACTGACAACGTGAAGCTGGTGTAGTAGTCATGTGTCATCACTGTCTTATGGGTTTTTGCACTTGAAATGTTTTGAAACTTTTCTGATAAGTGTTGTTCTATGCCCTTTTCGTTCTATGCCCTATTGGTGGCACTGCTGGAGGAGGGGGAGGACAGTGGGTAGGGCGGTAGCCCCTTGCACCTTCTGCTGAGCTGTTTCCTCCCAGTGGCAGTTGAGGTCGAGTTATTCGCTTTTTTTTTCTAAAGCCCCGTTTAGGTGTTACTTGTGTAGAAGCTTCAGTCTTGGTCGTCTTTGGCGTGCTAGTTTTGGGTCTGACGGGAGGGCTCTTGGTGGACCTGGGGGAGGCGGGGGATGTATGGGCCGGGGTCTGCTGACTAGGAGCGCCGGGCGAGGGGCACGCGGATGGCTCAGCAGAGTTGAAGGCCGGCGAGTCAGCAAGGGCGCGAGGCGGATGGCTGGCCGCGGGCAGGGAGAGAGGGGAGGCTTTTGGGAGGGGAAGACTGCCAGTCGTAGGCATGGGCGTGGAGGGTGTGGAGGAGGGGATCGGGGTGGAGGTAGGGGGCGTTGTGACTGGGGGAGATGTGAAAGGGAAGGTTCCGCACGTGGTCTGATCACGGGTGGGGGATAGGAGGCAGGGGGGTTCTTGCGTGAAAGATGCGTCCTACGCTGGCTTTTGCTCTTTGATTTTATTAATGGACAGTTGCTGCTCGGAGGACATTCCGATCAGCAAGTCAATTTTGTTTTCGATCAGATTTTGATCAGTGAAGGAGGGCCCATTACAGGTCTATGTTTTTGGTCTGTGCTCTTTTGGAAAAAAATATCAAAAGGAGTTGAAATACCTGATTTCTTAGGTGGTGACCAGTCTGTTAGGGGAGAGTCCGTTGTAGATGTTGCGAACATTACCAACACACTGGTCAATCATAGTGTGCACGATAATGCTTTCCATCCGTTTGGTGTCCCGTGTCGTGTTCCTAGGATTCTAGAGTCGGACAAACTGATGACAATGTAATGGGCTTGTTCGATTTCAGCCTTTTATTTAATCACAGATGACCGACCTTGCCCATGACTGTTTTGTAGCAACGAAACACAGAATTGTGTTCAGCACTATTGCTACACTGCTGAAATGATAGATTGCCTTTTCAAACTGATTTACACTGTTTGCACAGGCATCCTTGTTGTTACTGTGAAGGCAACCTTGACCATGGCTGCCATGGAGGTGCCCATCCTCGTGGGCGGGGAGGCAGCTCTGACCCACGCTGCCGGGGGCCCATATCCTAGGGCTGAGGTCCCGGTACCCTGGGAGGGTCCCCTTTCTCTCTGGGGATAAGAGCTCGTGCTGGCTGCCCGAGGAAGCACGAGGGAGGCCCTCTGGTTGGCCCCTCAAACCCGGGGGGAGGGGAGGATTACCCTCTGACACTGCGGGACCACGAGAAGGCAGGGTTTGCTGAGCTGCGGGGCTGCGGCGGAGAGGAGGCAAACACACGTCCGATCACCACGGCGGCTAGACGCAGAAGAGAGAGAGAGAGAGAGAGAGAGAGAGAGAGAGAGAGAGAGAGAGAGAGAGAGAGAGAGAGAGAGAGAGAGAGAGAGAGAGAGAGAGAGAGAGAGAGAGACAGACAGACAGACAGACAGAGAAACAGACAGACGGAGAGACAGACAGACAGACAGAGACAGAGACAGAGAGAGACAGACAGACAGACAGACAGACAGACAGATAGACAGACAGAGAGAAACATAGAGAGAGAGAGAAACATAGAGAGAGAGAAACATAGAGAGAGAGAGAGAGAGACATATATATATATATAGAGAGAGAGAGGGAGAGAGAGAGAGAGAGAGAGAGAGAGAGAGAGAGAGAGAGAGAGAGAGAGAGAGAGAGAGAGAGAGAGAGGGAGAGAGAGAGAGAGAGAGAGAGAGAGAGAGAGAGTGGGAGAGAGAGAGAGAGAGAGAGAGAGAGAGAGAGAGAGAGAGAGAGAGATAGAGATAGAGTGTGGGAGAGAGAGAGAGAGAGAGAGAGAGAGAGAGAGAGAGAGAGAGAGAAGGAGAGAGAGAGAGATAGAGAGAGAGAGTGGGAGAGAGAGAGATAGAGATAGAGATAGAGTGTGGGAGAGAGAGAGAGAGAGAGAGAGAGAGAGAGAGAGAGAGAGAGAGAGAGAGAGAGAGAGAGAGAGAGAGAGAGAGAGAGAGAAGGAGAAAGAGAGATAGTGATAGGGAGTGGGAGAGAGAGAGAGAGAGAGAGAGAGAGAGAGAGAGAGAGAGAGAGAGAGAGAGAGAGAGATAGACAGATAGACAGATAGACAGACAGAGAGAAACATAGAGAGAGAGAAACATAGAGAGAGAGAGAGAGACATAGAGAGAGAGAGAGAGAGAGAGAGAGAGAGAGAGAGAGAGAGAGAGAGAGTGAGAGAGAGAGTGGGAGAGAGTGGGAGAGAGAGAGAGAGAG